CGGATTCTTTAACTTGTGTGGTGATAAAACACTGAAGTAACTAAGAATTACGCGGACACCTCTGAATCACGAAAATTTTATGTGGGCGGAATAACATTGTTCATTGGAAATCCTCTGGCCTTCCATGGCATCGATTCGATCCTTGATGTTTGTCCTCCGACAGTGATGTCCTACTGCATCTCCGGCCCGATCTCTTCCTCCCAGCGGGCCAATACGACCCCCCCCCTGTGACATGTCGAGGATTCCTCAACGCACGCTTGACCCTGGTTCAGCGTCATTTAGCTCCAACATGTGACCGCCCACTTACAGTGCCTAATTTGACATTGAATCGCTAGCAAATTTTTTCCGTCTTTTTCGGCCCTACTGGAACAGTTCAGTAGAAGTGAAGCACACGCGATTCGCAATGAACGACCTTCTTCCTGGTGAGAACTGGATTATTGTGAAACAGCAGTGCCAAATACCCAGCCATGCTGCGACCGAGCAATTCCGATGTTGGCTTTTGCTGCGCCGAAACAGTACCAAGATGCTAACAGGCTATGACCATGCTCAAAACACAGGTTGGGATTAGGTGCCGAGTTCCTGTTTCAGTGAGAAAGAGGGTCTCCAACAGAAGTCGCGACTCAAAGTGCAAGGTAACTGCTAAGGCCTTGCCTTGTGTGCTGCCTTGCTGTCATCCTTATCAATCGCGGCATACGACGTCTGCACCTCTCGCGTACAACGTGCTCTCTCGCGTTTTCCCTCTCCTCGCAGCGCTGTGTCTCTCCGTCATACCACGGCCGACCTCACAAGGGAAATTTCAGTGTTTTCTATGGCGCTTTTTGCTTTTCTCCCACTAACTTTCCTCATCGCTCTTCTTGCTAGATTTACGAACAAGTACCATTAAATCAATACCAAATTCGAAGACACGCTTTATAATGGATAGAACAACGCAGTTGGTATTATGCCACATTCGCTTCCTGAATGACAAGTTTTCAGCTGGCCTAGCGGTTGGACTCCAGTTCCAGTGCACACTCTCCCAACTGACGAAGATCATGTGAGTCTCAATGGCTACTCTTTTAACCCTGAGAAAATGCTGTAGTTGTTTAGGCTGGCAACGTCTTCGCTCCATGTCCTCGAGCTGTACAGCTGGATGATGAATTACGGAATAGTAAAGAATTCAAACAAATTGCTGAAGACA